TTTCGTTTCGTTTCGTTTCGTTTCGTTTCTTTTTCCTTTCCTTGTTTTTTTTTCTTTTTTTGTTCTTTCTCTTCGTTTTCAGTTTCTTTTTTATCTTTCGGTCAGTTTTTTTTTTTTGCGTAGTCGATTGAATCGATCTTTTTTTTTCTTTCTTTCTTTCTTTCTTCTTTCGTTTCGTTTTCACAAAACGGGGGAGAGTACGTTTTTTCAGACACGAGGGCGTGAGCTGCAGGTGAAAAAATATTGATGAATGCGTGGTGAGAATCGTTTACAGAGTAAATGCAAGTTGAGTATAAAAATTTTCTTAAATTACCAACACCTGATTATTCTCGCGGAGAAGAAATAAAATTCATTGAAAATTTAAAATCAGTTTTATCGGAAACGAATGCTCGTCGATCTTTCAAACGAGTCGAGCAAAAACTTAATCGAAGTGAACAACATATATTTGATCAGTATTCTCAAAGTTTTAGACAACAGTCGAAGAATAAAGAGTGGTTGGGGGAGTAGTTGGTTCAAGAGGGGTGGAATTGAATGAAAAGCGAGAATCGTTTAAAGGTGCTCACCTTGAATGCCCGAGTGAAATGGCTTTGGTAACCATAGCGATAATGTCGTTTGAAATTGCGGTAATTATAGAGATCTATGACGAACTCGACCGTAGTTGCTCCGTTGGTTTGTATTGGCTCTCGTGAACTTTACCTGGAAAACGTGCTCTCCCATGTCGAATCGTTGCGCTCTAACATGCGAGATACAGTAATAATTGTAATTCTAGCGTTTTTTTCTCTCTTAACTATTCATCGCTTACGCGGTTCGTGCTATATGTGTTGAAAAATTTACTACATTTCTCTCTGTGTTATATTTGCTAACAATTCATGCTATATACGTGTTAAAAGAATCTTTTAAATATTTCCTTCTTCATTATGTTTGTTAATGATTCGTTCGTGTCGAGGAATTCATGTTACGCGTTATGTGTTACGATCTTTCTGTCTGGGTTAACGCGTAGTCGTTTTGAAGTGTAGAGAATCATATTGTCGGATGTAAAATATGTCCGTGAAGTGTGATTTCAACCCGACATTCTGATGGATTTTCGTAGATCCGGCACAGATCAGCGAGTTGCTCTCAAAAACGATAGCGGATGCACACGCAAGAACGTGTCTGCTGTCGACGGAACAGATTCAGGAGTCTTTCCGGAAGCCGCACGACCTCTCCAGATTGATCTACTACAAGAACATGGCGCACGAGCAACTGTGGCTCGAGTGTGCCCAAAAACTAACCACCGTTATCCAGCAGATCATCGAGTTCGCCAAGATGGTTCCTGGATTCATGAAACTCTCGCAGGACGACCAGATTGTTCTACTAAAGGCTGGTCAGTAATCCCCAATTTAACTTTACGTAAACCGAACACGTTACCAAAAATTAACAGATGAAATCTAAATAAAAATTTCTATTTCAATTTTTAATACGGGTAGGTAGTTAAATTGGATAAATGCTAACCAAATAGTATCACTGTGTCGACATTAATTTTGTAAGTTTTAAACAAGCGGAAGCAGAATCTTGTCAAAGATAAAAATTATTATTCGATTTTATATTATTAATTTTATAGAAGAATTATGATTTCGATTAACTTCGAAATTTGAAACACGTAAGTATAGCCAAAGAGTTTCCTTTTAATAGGAGCTAATCATCAGTTAACATAGTTTATAAAACTTGTGCTATTGTGTCTTCGGCCACAGTCTGAATTTACTCTAGGTTAATTCAACGTAATAATAGACCGTTGTTCACGATGTTACTAGGTTCCTTCGAGTTGGCTGTGCTACGTATGAGCAGGTACCTCGATCTCCAGCAGAACTGTGTCCTCTACGGTGACACCATGTTACCGCAGGATGCGTTTTACACGACAGACACGGCGGAAATGAAGCTTGTTTCTTGCGTGTTTGAGTTGGCCAGGAGTATTGCTGAATTGAAGCTTACGGAAACAGAGCTGGCTCTTTACAGTGCAGCGGTTCTCCTTAGCCCCGGTTGGTAAACTTTTCAATTTTGTATTATTAGTTGGAAACGATCTGTTTTTCTTTTGAACAAGATAGTTTATAACATTTTAACAATCCCATCGGTCGTTGCTAATCAAAGGTATTGCGACAGTACTGCGACAATAATTTTACGTATTCATTTCACGACGGACTGTAGTCACAGAACTATTCTACATGAAAGGAAATTCAACAAAAACGAGGATCGTCTCGTTAAAAAAGAATAAATGCAATTACAACCTTTGACATTTCTACTGCTTAGAGTCAAAAAGAATTCTTGACTCGTTTCCTACTCGAGTACCTTTGACGATAATCGATTCAGTAGCTACGGAGTGGATGATATTCAAATTTCTCTCGACTTTTAGTTAACCGCAGAGTTTCTACAAAGAGTTTGTACAACTAAAAATAATCCCGTTCGATTGAATCAAGAAAGCATTACCACATATTTCACATGCTTCGACGCTACGAATATCGCTATAGATATCAAGTTGCCTTTGGCCCCTTCCTTCTTCCCCATCCTTTTGTCCCTGATTCACTCTCCAAAATTATCCACGAACTCGGTCCCTCAATTATCTGTCGCTTAATTCATCCCATTTCGTCACACAACGACACAACGCTCCTCCGCAAAATTAATCGCCGCTTATAAATACTCGTTCGACGGAAGTGTCTCGTTCCTCTTCTGCCCCTCCCTCTCCCCTCCTTGCCGCCCTTTCCAGTAGCTGTCACCTCTCTCGCAGCTCCTTCTTCTCTTCAGCACGCACAACAGTCCACGAAAGGAATTGAACATATCGGTAAACATTGCCGGTAGGCGATGGCGATGGCGATGGCGAGGCGAGGCGAGGCGAGGCGAGGCGAATCGAGTCGAGACAACCAGAAATAAACAGGTCCAAAAATAAATTTCAGATCGGCCGGGGCTGAAAGGGCTCGCGGAAATCACGAGACTGTCGCAGGCGGTGATCAGGGCGCTCAGGTCGGAGCTGGATCGTAACCACGTGTCACCCATAAAGGGCGACGTGACGGTGTGCGACGCGATCCTCGCCAAGATCCCACAGCTTCGCGAGATCTCTCTGTTGCACATGGACGCCTTGGCCAAGTTCAAACGGTCGCAGCCGCACCTCGAGTTCCCGGCCCTTCACAAAGAGCTTTTCAGCGTCGACAGCTGAACGATCGACGCGGCGCAGAGCGTCCCGACGCTGACGAACAAAGCGGTACGCGAGTAGCGCCGGGCCTTGCTCTGTCAAGGTGAGTTCTTCTCCACCGTCCGGAAAACGAAAACGAAAACGAAAACAAAAAAAAAAAAAAATAAGAAAAGAGAAAGGAAAAAAAGAAACGAGAGGAACGGAGAAAAGAAATGAATAGGAAAAGGAATAATATTTTCGGGAGGACACGAGGATGAAGGCGACCGCGTATCGACGACGACGATACGACACGTTGTTGCGAGATTAGGCATCGAAGCTACCTAGGAAGTGTCGCTCTGATTACCGCTCGGATGCGTGTTCTTTTTTGGAGCCGAGAGCTCGCGCGGTCGTTCGAAGGGCTGTGGAAGGAACGTAATGAGAGACGTCGATGTTTTCTTTCTTCTCTCTTTCTTGCTCGTTACTTGGATTTTTTCAGCTCGTTCGTCCAAAAGTAGAATGGAAATTTCCACGTGTGACTCGAGTCTAATGGTTACCTCTTCTTGTTGTTTTTAATCGTACTGCGTGCTCACGTAGCTTTAAGCGGGAAGATATTTGAAGAGAATACGACGGAACGAAATGAAAACTGTTGACTATACGTGCATCTATATATTTTCTGTAAATGTGTTTAATTTCAACTCTCGTTGACACTTTGTGATTTTATCATACGACCAGAGATATCGTTGTGTATAAAGAGATTTTTATATGTAGAAGAAAGTATATAGGAGAATGTTGTCTCTCGGCGCTCATACTTTCGCGAACACGATCTTCTTTCAAGCCCTTCGATTCAACTCTGACGAAAATTAAGATCCTCGGGCCGAGTCGAGCGATCGAATTGCGATTCGATATCGAAAACGAATGGTTGTTAGACGACACGCAGCAATTGTACGTAAAAATTCTCTTTCTTGGTCTCGTTTGTATTGACGAAAACTGTATATAACGATGATAAATCAGGGCCATTTCGTAACCGAGATAATGGAACAACTTTAATCTTATCTGTAAGACCTGCGCAACCCGATTTCACGATTGCCCGAACAACCGATTTCGTTTAGAGCTTCGTTCATGCCTCGGATCTTGAATTTTTACACGCAGAAGAGAGAGCGGGGCCCGGCTTTGAAAAGTCGACGATTTCGAGCGGGAAACAAGTAACTTGCAAGTCAGCTTGCGATCATTGTTTCTTCGTTAATTTTTCTATATTTTTATTCGTCGTTATAAAGAGAGAGAGAGAGAGAGAGTGTGTGTGTATGAGTGAGTGAGAGAGAGCGAGACGGGAAAGAAAGAGGAAAGAAAAAGAACTTGTATTTTTTTGGTCAGAAACTGCGTAGAATCGTTTAAGATTATTATTATTATATTATTATTATAACTTTTATTATTACTGTTACTACTACTATTGCTGCTATTACTATTATTATTACGATTATTAATATTTCTTTCTACTTTGTTTCTATCGTCTATCATCTCGTTCGTTTCTGTTCTTCGAAAGCTTTCGCTTTTGTTCCCTTTCTTTCGACGTGTATAAAACTGCCAAATCCCCTCTTCTTCTATTCTTTCTTTCTTTCGATTTCTTTCTCTCTTCCTCTTTCCTTGTTCCTTTTCAAAATTATTAATTAATTATTAATTAATCGTAATTATTATTAATTATTAGTTACTCGTTAAGTGAAAGTTACCTCGGTGTTTCTGAAAGAAAAATACAGGGTTCGCGGACGAAAATCGCACGTCCGATCAGCCTGAACGATATGAGAAACGCGAACGGACAGAGTCTACCG